GCGACCCAAACTACGTTCACTGAACAAGCCAAAAATTCGGCGCCTGCGGCGGGCTGTTTTTGCATTCGTTCTGGGTGGCCCACCAGCGATGCCCCCCGCGCTGAACTTGTCAGAGCACGCAAATTGGCGCCTGCGGCGGGCTTGCTCGCATTGGTTTGGGAAAGCGCCCTCGTGCCATTCCCCCGATCCGGCCCACGTTGACTCTACAACAGCACATCGGCGCCTGCGGCGGAGCTGTGTCTGAACACGTTCATTGACAATCCAGTTGCCTGCTGCAATTCGGCATCCGTGCCCAAAGCCTGGGTTCAGAGGAAGCTGCCTCAAGGCGCCCATAATTAAGGGGCCTCGGGGCGCTCAAGGACCCTCCTGAGGGGTCGTCCACGAACCCTACCACATGCACGCCAGTGCCGCACAAGCGCGGTGGCGGATTTTACATGCCGTCTGAGCCCCCCAAGACCTCTTCAAGCGCCGCTCACCCACACCACCCAATCCAGCCATTTTACCCTGGCGAGTTGCCTGGATCAGAGAAGTCGGGCATTCAGTGGAACAAAGGCTTGGTTTGCCGTTATCTTGAGAAAGAAGGGCGAGGCAGAGGAGTAAACAGGGGACGAGGAGGATGCGGAAGAAGAGAGGATGTAAGGAGAGTGTGGAGGAAGAGGAGGAGGATGAGGAGGAGGAGGAGGAGGAGGGGGAGGAGGGGGAGGAGGGGGAGGAGAGGAGGAGGAGGGGAGGAGGAGGAGGAGGAGGAGGAGGGAGGAGGAGGAGGAGGAGGAGGAGGAGCAGGACGAGGACGCGGACGAGGAAGAGGAGGAGGAGCAGGAGCAGGAGGAGGAGCAGAAGAAGGAGGAGGAGGAGGAGGAGCAGGGCGCCATCGACAGGGAAGGCGAGGGCCACGGGGTCCGCGGGCTCGACGCCCGCGTCGCCCGCGCCCGCCCCCACACTCTTATCCGCAATTGCGGGGTGTTACGTAACAATACCAAGAACATTGATACTACCAATTGCAATAACGAGTAATCTTGCTACTCCGAATAAAGATATACATGCTAATCGTATTGTTTGTTAGATTGGTAAGAATAACTATAGGACTACCAATGTCAATGCTAGTACTATGCCTACGGACTGCGGATAATAGCCATACCACTGATGATCATAGTAATCGTACCAATGCTATCACGAATCGTAACAGCACTCGTAATGCTAATAGTAGTGCTAAGACTGCTAATCGTACCAATACTGATAATACTATTAGCGCTGGCGCTCATACGAATGAGGATGATGATTCTGAGGAGGGGAGGGGGACGAGGAAGGGGAGGAGGAAGAGGAGTAGGAGGACGATGATGGGAACGAGGAGGAGGAGGAGGAGGAGGAGGAGGAGGAGGAGGAGGAGGAGGAGGAGGGGGAGACGGAGGTGGAGGAGGAAGAGAAGGAGAAGAAGGAGGAGGAGGAGGAGCGGGATGATGCTGCTGATGAGGGTGATGATGCTGATGACGATGATACTGTTGATTTCGTTGATGATGCTGCTGATGATGATGCCGATACTGCTGATGATGAAGAGGATGATCCTGGTGATGGTGATGGTGATGGTGAGGATGAGGATGATGATGATGCTGGTGATGATGCTGCTGATGATGACGAGGATGAGGATGAGGATGATATTGATGATGATGAGGATGATGATGTTGATGCTAGATTATGATTATGTTTATGCTGCTGATGATGCTATTGATGATGATGAGGATGATGTTGATCATGCTGACTGTGCTGATGCTGATGATGACGATGCTGATGATGTCGATGATGATGAGGAGGAGGAGGACAAGGAGGATGATGTGGATGAGCACGTGGACCAGAAGCAGACGAAACACGAGGAGGAGGAGCAAGGACAGGAGGACGAAGAGGAGGATACTGCGGAGGAGGAGGATGAGGAGGATGTGGAGGAGGAGGAGGAGGAGGCGGAGATGGAGGAGGAGGGGGGAAGGAGGAGGAAGGAGGGATGAGGGAGGAGGGATGTGGAGGGGGGAGGAGGGAGGAGGGCGGAGGAGGGAGGGGGAGGGGGAGGGAGGGAGGTGGAGGAGGAGGAGGAGGAGGAGGAGGAGGAGGAGGAGAAGGAGGAGGGAGGAGGAGGAGGCGGGATGAGGGGAGGAGGGAAGAGGGAGGTGGGAGGATGCAATGTGAGGAGGTTGGAGGAAAGAGGAGGAGGAAGAGGAGGAGGAAGAGGAGGTACAGGAGCATGAGGAGGAAGAGGAGGAGGAGGCGGAAGCGGGGGGGGAGGAGGAGGCGGAGGAGGAGGAGGCGGGGGAGGAGGAGGAAGAGGAGGAGGAGGAAGAGGAAAAGGAGGAGAGAGCGAATGGGGAAGCAGGAACGATTTCCATACTTTGAGGTTGGATACGAAGACCATGCACAATAATGTGAAGGCGAGTGTGCATACAATGCACTAATACTACGGATACCGTACTTCGAAGAAGAACCGGACGATCTTCAAGACGAGTCACACGACCACTAGTAATATTACGGCGCAGAATAAAAAGCATGGCACGAACCATACTATTACGACATATAATTCGATTCGTCATAATAATACCAGCAAGTCGCGATGCGGATAGTATTCTGAACGTTACTATTGGTGCGCATATCAATTTGCATAATACGACACGTGTGATTAGTAGGAAGCATCATGATTCGAACACGAAGCATACACCTCATTCTTATGAATTCTAATGTGAGTTTATGTTCAGATTACCGGAGTAACAGTGCTAAGCAACACAATGCACATATGATAAGTTGACGAATGCCAATACGACGCAGAATAATAATGCGACTACTACCAGTAAGACGAATTATAATGAACTGGCAAGGGGCACTAGTACTAATCTAGGAAATCATTATACGCAGACCAAAAGGTTAATCCAATACGACGAAGACGGCGAATCATAATAACACGATTAAGGAGACGATTAATAGCAATAAAGTCGACTACGACCACACATAATCATGTTACTAACGCCCATAATGATACTGCTAAGCACACGAAGGCGAGGACGTGGAGAAGGAAGGGGAGGAGGATGAGGAGCAGGAGGAGGAGGAGGAGAAGGGGGAGGAGGAGGAGGAGGAGGAACAGGAGGGAGGAGGGAGGAGGGAGGAGGGAAGAGGGTGGAGTGAGAGGGAAGGAGGGGGGACGGAGGAGGGAGAGGGGAGGAGGGAGGAGGGTGGAGGGAGGGGTGAGGAGAAAGGAGGGAGGAGGGAGGAGGAAGGAGGAGATGGAGGGAGAAAGATAAGGGAGTGCGGGAGGGAAGGCAAGGAGGTGGAGGAGGAGGAGGAGGAGGGACAAGGAGGAGGACCAGGTGGGAGGAGGAGGAGGAGGAGGAAGAGGAAGAGGAGGAGGAGGAGGAGGAGGAGGACCATTGTAATCCCAAGAGTCACTCACGATGTTGGAATGAGGCCTCCCCCCAAGCTCCCTCTTCATAGGCCCCTACAACGGTCCATTTCCACAGTGGGACCTGCCTTATTGGAAGACAACCGTTTGAAGACCCTGAAGCATGTCAAAACATTGTTCTCGGTTTTCCAACGCCATGGGTAAAACTGTGTGTTTCGTCTTGACGCTCCAGTATCGTGCCGTAGCGCCATTCCTGGGACTTCAGCGCCGTGAATCAGCGGAACTGTTGCGCCCTCATAATCGTGAATCCATCCAAAACACCATTTCTGGTACGTCGATCATGGGAATCTGCGAAACCCGGACGTTTTTTCCTACATTTGTTTTTTTGGACACCCCGCACAGGAAGTCTCACCCCTCACCCCCTCCCTCTCCTCCTCATCACCCAGCACCTCCTCACTCACACTCTCACTCACTCATCATCGCACTCCTCCTCCTCCTCCTCATCATCATAATTGTCATCACCATAAGCATCATTCACTCACTCACTCACTCGCTCACTCAGTCACTCATTCACTCATTCACTCATTCACTCACTCATTCACACACCCACACTTGAAGAAGTGTCAGGCGGGAGCCTCGTCTGTGAGTGACTTGCGAGGAAGCCTCAGGCGGGAACCGCCTCCCTGTGGGGCCCGCAGATCATTTTACGAATCAAAGCGGGTCATCCAGATTTTGTAACTGCCGTCATTTTTGGGCTTCTGAGTCGTGAATATGGGGAACATATTTGGCGGGAGCCTCGTCTGTGAGTGAAGTGTGAGGAAGTCTCAGGCGGGATCCCCTTCCCTATGAGGCCCGCAGATCATATTATCAATCCGAGCGGGTCATCCAGATCTTGTACTTGTCCTCACTTTTTGGCTCCTGAGGCTTGAGTATGGGGGAAATATCAGGCAGGAGCCTCGTCTGTGGATGATTTGCGAGGACGTCTCAGGCGGGAGACCCCTCTTTATGGGGCCCGCACCTCGTGTCATTTATCCGCGGGTCATCCTCGAACCTGTAACTGTTGTGATTTTTGGGCTCTTGGGTCTTGAAAATGGAGGACGTATCAGGCGGGTGCCTCGTCTGTGAGTGAACTGTGAGGAAGCCTCAGGCGGGAACCCCCTCCAGATAGGGCCCGCAGATCATATCATTGATCCGAGCGGGTCATCCTGATCCTGTACCTGTCGTCACTTTTGGGCTCCTGAGGCTTGAATATGGGGAAAGTAGTAGGCGGGAGCCTCGTTTGTTAGTGAACTGTGAGGAAGCCTCAGGAAGGAATAGAGGAGGAAGAGCAGGAGGAGGAGGAGGAGAAGGAGGAGGATGGATGAGGAGGAGGAGGAGGAGGAGGAGGAGGAGGAGGAGGAGGAGGAGGAGGAGGATGTGGCAGAAGACTCTTCACTGGCGCAGCCGAGCGTCAGGGCGACAAGGCTGGCGCACATGTGGGGGGGCCTGCGACAGCAGCCCCTCAGGCTTGACAGCACGCGGGCGCCCCCACTCGAGAGATCACGGAGCCACCGCGAAGGGAAGAGAGAGAAGGCAGGGCGAGCCCTTCTTGCCGACCGCGGGGCGCCCTGGGGGGTGGGCGGGGCAG